AGATCTTGTTGTAAATTTGTCTATTCGAATTTTGCATTTTTTGAGGCAGTTTCAAGCTGAAGTTGAATTTTTGCGTTTTTTAGTCCAACTCTTATGTACACTTGAATAAGTTAGATGTCGTTTTGTTTTGCCTTTTATTACGCAGTTTTTCTTGTTTCTTGTTTTGTCACCGTCTACAATTCATTCATTAAACAACTATACTGGTTTGTGCTAGAGAGTCAAACCTCTCCACCTACTTGCTTATAAGCAACCTCGTAGAAGAGCCACTTATCGATAGTTTGTCCACCGAGAGTCTGTTTCTGGCGCGTGCCGCTCGGGGTACTTCCCGAGTCCTCTCTGCCTCCCAGAGCGATTGCTGAGGAAGTTTGACTTTTTGATTTTGGTTGTCCATAGATGACGGCCTAATTTTACAGCTCTGCGGCTCGCAATTTTCCCAGTAGGTTTGACCTATGGCTACTAGAAGCGTTAAACATTATCCGGTAGTCAGAAATGTTGTATAGAAAGGACAAAAAGCGTATTTTGAAAGTTAAAACGTCTTTGTTTTGTAGTACATATGTCAGGAGCTGATATTATTTTTTCAATTAACTCACAATTTCAAATTTGCTCTGCAGCTTTTCCTGTTGTGTTTTTTAAAAAACTTCGACTGGCTTTTATTAGTTTCCTTTCCAACTGCGCAGCGTAGCTTTCCTAATTGGTTTAAACAGTACTGAATCATCAGTCTTCAGGCTATCCCGGCATTGTTTCCTTAAGTTTAGGTTATTTTAGAAACTGAAAGAGTTGCCAGCTGTATCGTAGGATAACAATACTATAAATTGCAACTAATTCAAGATGACTTTTTAGAAAATACGCTGGGGATCTGGTAAATGATGCTAGGAAAAATGGAGGTGTCGTCGATTTTTGAATTTATAATTTCCAAAGTTTCTATTGAATTCCACTAAATTTTCGTTTAAGGTGTAATAGGACATTCGTTTTGCTTTGATCAGCACAACATCGGTTGATGGTCAGCTATATGGCTATCTTGACAGTCATTTCGTCTCCCCCCGAAATGAATTAAACTGCAAAGTTTACAAGTTAATTGTTGGATGTTTAGTTTGCTGAAATGGGATGTTTATTTCTTATAAAGATGTGTATCTCTTACAAAGGACTGTGTGCTTACATTCGTTTTAGTCACATTAATCATCTTGCTAGTACAGATTTCACTAATAAACATTATCAAATGTCGTGAACGAAGTCCATTCACTGAAAATTGTTCTGGACCAGGCAGGAATCGAACCACTCCTCTTCCGGACGCAATGTGTTACTGTTACACCGCCGGTCTTTGTACTCCAGGTTCAACCTGGCCGCACATCTCTCTTCTGTATATCTGCCTTTTAGAAAGATGTGCTACTTCGCCACGCTTTTGCACTCTCATGAACATAAAACGAAAGTACGCATGGGGCTAA